TAGACATGGTAGCACTGGGTATATATTGCCTTAAAGAAAACACTACTTGGCTCAATACTTCTTCACAACTGCTCTCTTATTTGATTATTGCTGTGATAATACAATAACAAAATATATGATACAGTTTATATGGGGAAAATTGAAAAATCTGTAAGTTGTGAAGATCTGGAGGTCTAGTATATCTGAATTAGCCAGCCTTTCTCAAGCAAGGGAATGACCAAAGCGGGGGAACTGAGGAACTAAATATACCAACGGACAATCGACACACCATATATGACAATAGAACTCTGACACACTCCTCTGCAGTAACCAACCTGAGAGGCAAACCACGGACTCTACAGCAATCAGCTCAGAACAGCCAGAACTTGGTCAATGACTGCTAGTACCCCTATTTTGTTTGTCCCCACTTTCAACTTAGAGACCAAATAAGCTCCCCAAACCAATCATGTAAGATGTCCTGGGGCACCTGGGTGGTTCAGTGGGCTAAGCCTCTGCCTTTGGCTCAGGTCATGATCTCAGGCTCTCTGCTCAGCAAGGAGCCTGCTTCCCCACTCCCTCTGCCTGCCTCTCTTCCTACCTGTGATCTCTCTCTCTCTCTGTCAAATATATAGGTAAAATCTTAAAAAAAAAAAAAAAAAAAAAGATGTCCTGCTCCCAGTTAACCTACCTCCAGCTTTCCCGTGCTAACAACCTCCAATCAGGGCATCCCTGAAGCTTCATTCTTTTTCTTCTCATTTTAAAGCATTCTTCCTTTCTGCATGCCTCTGGATCTCTGCCAAATGCAGGTGATAGTAGCTGATCCTTTGCAATAGCAAGCTCTGAATAAATAGCCTTTGTGCTCTCATTTGAGTGAGCTTCACCTATTTTCACAAGTACAGAGCCCTTCATCTTACAGAGAAGGCGGAGACCCAGAGAACTGTGGATGTGACCTCACACCCAAATGGCTTTGCAGTATTGGGTCTTGAGAAACAGATTCCTGGTCATCTGTCAATATCCATCATCCTCTTTTTCCTTAATAACAGAATCCCCCATCTTTTAACTGGGCTATTTGCTGCCCAGGACAAAGACCAATTTCTGGCTTCCCTTGCCATCAGATCTGGTCCTGTGTCTAAGTTCTCGCCAGTGATCTGTAAGCAGATGTAGTATATAGCAGTTATTTGTTGAGGAATATCTAAAGTACAGTCTTCATGTTTATGCTTTATTTGGATAATAATTGAAGAATTGAGGATGTGGAGAAAAGGACTCTCTTGCACTATTGGTGGGAATGAGAATAAAGGCAAAAGAATGTAGGTAAAATTAAGTCTCCTTATAACTTACAGCCCATTGGCAAATACTTGGGTGGAAAAAAAATAGAAAAAAATAATTGAAGAAGTATTTTCACATTGACTTGAGTGTGTGCTTCTGTCATAAAGAACTTGGCTGATCTTTGTCCTTGGTTCCCGGGAAGTAATTGTGAAATCTGTGGAAATTCCTTTGACAAGGAATAAGAGTGTCTTTGTTATTCATAGTGGGTCTTGGGGAACCACACCTGATAGTTCATGCAGATGAGATGACTCTTGGGATGCCTGGGTGGCTAAGTCAGTTAGGCATCTGCCTTTGGCTCAGGTCGTGAGCCTGGGACCCAGTCCTGCATTGGGCTCCTTGCTCGGCAGGGAGCCTGCTCCTCCCTCAGCCTGCTGCTCCCCCTGCTTGTGCTCTCTGACAAATAAATAAAATCTTGAAAAATATATAAAAAGGTGACTCTGGTTTCCCCTGGTTTATACTAATTAGATGATTCAAGATGGGGGCTGGCCAAGTAAGAAAGACCCATCTTGTGATTAGAGAGTTGGGACTTTGAGCCTCACCTCCAGGGAGGGAAGGGGCACTGGAGATTGAGTTCAACTCTGTGGTCAACCAACCATGACAACATGAACCCCAGTGAAAACTTTGGCCTATGAAGCTCAGGTAAGCTTCCCTAGTTTGCAGTACTCTGCATAGTTACACATTGCTGTACCAGTCAGTGGTGTGTTCCTGGAGAAGATGAAAGCCTCCCATTTGAGATGCTGTCAGACCTCAATCTATGTGCCTCTTCTCTTAGGTTGAATTTGATTTGTATCTTTTTGTTATAATAAAATTATGTCATAATAAATATAGCCCTTTCCTGAGTTCGGAGATTTGCTCAGAGAATTATCAAACCTGAAGGAGTGGTGGCAACTCCCAAATTTGTAGCCAGCTGGTCAGAAGAGTAGCCTAGGGTCCCCCACATTTGTGGCTGGTGTCTGAAATGAGAGCAGTCTTGTGGAGTACTGTATCTTTAACCTGTGGAGTTTGACCTAATTCTCATAGTTGATATGAGAAGTCATTGTAGTGCTACAAAATAAAATAGCAGTGAGTTTTTATGTACACACATACCAACCCACCCCCCAAAAATGGAACAATCCCAATCTACATTTGAATCTGAAAAATAATTCTAGGAATCAACATTGTATTTTTCTAAAAAAATATTTAATTGGTAGTTTTCTAGAAGGAAAGTTTTTCATCTAATACAAAAGTGTGACGTCAAGGGCACCTGGCTGGCACAGTCAGAAGAGCATGCGACTCTTGATCTTGGGGTGGTGAGTCCAAGCCCCATGTTGGGTATAGAAATTACTTAAATAAATACTATTTTTAAAAATGTGGTGTATCAGGGCACCTGGGTCGCTCAGTTGGTTAAGTGACTGCCTTCAACTCAGGTCATGATCCTGGAGGGAGTCCTGTATAGGGCTCCCTACTCAACAGGGAGTCTGCTTATCCCTCTGACCCTCTCTGCCTCATGCTCTGTCTCTCAAATAAGTAAATCTTTTTTTAAAAATATTGTATTTATTTGAGAGAGAGAGAATGAGAGAAAGGAGCGAGTATGAGAGGGGAGAAGTCAGAGGGAGAAGCAGACTCCCCGCCAAGCAAGGAGCCAGACATGGGACTCGATCCTGGGACTCCAGGATCATGACCTGAGCTGAAGGCAGAGGCTTAACCCACTGAGCCACCCAGACGCCCCAAATAAATAAATCTTTAAAAAAATAAAATGTAGTATATCTGTACAGTAAAATATTTTTTTATAAACAGTGTGAAGTCAGAAGCAGTGAGAAAACATGGGCAATACAAGTTTCTCAAATTAATACCAGGTTAATAAGCACCTACTGTCTGCTCATTTTTGAGAGGAAGTGGAGGAAATTATCTGAAGCAGCTGATAATCTGGTTCAGGAGACAAGAAAGTGGCAAGCTGATAAAAAATGCTTTAAAGAGATCAAGACAGTAATAACAACTACCCAAGACATCTTTTCATTTTTAAAAACCTTAAGCAAATGCAAATGCTTTTACAATTGCAAATCAGTAAGATATGACTTTACATCAGTGTTCAAGAGAATTCTTCCCTGATGAGAGGGTATTTGAACAGGGTTCTACTTATTAGGCTTCCGAGAAGTGGAGGGAGCATTCCAGGCTGGTGGGGCAGGCAGGGAAGTGTGAAGGTATCTCCAAGGTATGGCAAGCAAATTAGTTTGTCTGTAATAGAGGTTCTTGTCAGGAGTAGCAGGAGGTTAAGGCAGAGTGAAGAGGGCGTTAAATGCCAAACTGAGGAGTGAGGATTTTTCTTGTAGGCAGTACAGAGGCTTTCAGACAAGGCAGTGGGTACAGACTGAAAAGAATGGTTACCATAGCAAAGATAGACAAAACAGATAGATGTTAAGCAAAGACCAGCTACAAAGTTGCTGGTATCCAGGTATATAAAGTGACTTAAGTTGGGGTTAGAAAAGAACATTGGGAGGAAAGGTAAGACAGAGCAAACTAAGACAGTACTAATGTAGTAAATTTGCTGTTTCTCTCCTGTATACTTTGGCTCTCTGGAAAGAAATTCCCATGATTTCTGGGTTTCTAGACTGGCATTCTGATCTCAGCTGTCTAGATGCCTCCATTCATCCTGTCTGCCTGCACCTCTCAGCCTTAGCCAACCTGTTGGACCTCTAGATTCTGCCTGTCTGCATGGACCCACTTTGAACTGATTCCCTGAAGTCTAGGCTCAGTGACTTAAAATGCTTGAAGGACTGTCTTTAGTATAAGCTAATCTTTTTAGTCAAGACTCCTCTGCTCTCTGCCAGCTCCTACTCCTGGCTTCTCCACATAAATTTCAGATGCATCATGATATGAACTTGAGACCCAGAAAGCTTAGGGTTAACTATTACAGAAAATAAAGACATACAGATGGCTTGAAGTAACAGACAAGGTAGGAAAAGTAGTTTAGCAATAGTTGGTATATCTGTATATTTGATGTTTTATAAAAGCAATTTTACTGAGGTGTAATTTATATACCATAAATTTCACCCATTTTGTGTGTGCAATTCAATAATTTTTAGTAAATTTACCAAACTGTTCAACCATCAACATAATCCAGTTTTAGGACATTTGCATCACCCCAATAAGATTCTTTCTAATATTTGCATTTACTCCCAGTTGCTTCTCCCAGTACCAGACAACCACTAATCTACTTTGCCTCTGAGGATTTGCCATTTCTGGACATTTGCTATAAATGGAATGGTGGCCATCTGGCTTTCACTTAGAATAATGTTTTTGAAGTTTTGATTTTTTTTTAATACCCACATTTTAATGATTTTAATGTTTAAAAAGATTTTATTTCAAAAATCCCAAATCTCAGAGCATAAATATCTAATGAAAATTGCTTTTTGCTCAAACTTTAAAAATATCACTCCAGCCTCTTAGAGAGAGGTAACATGTAGTGGCATGGGGGGTTTTGTACAGGGAAGACCTTCAGTCTCTCAGTCTCAAAACCACAGCTGTGAACCAGAAGGAAGAGAGACCCAGCCCAGCGCATGGCACTTTCAAATCAGTTTTCTTAACCCTAAGATAGGGTCTGGCTGAATCAGTGGTGGTTCTCGACCTAGGGCAGCTTCCATTCTCTTCACCCACACAGTAGCACTTCTGCTCCCATCAGTAACAGGATAGGGAGGTGAATCGTTACAGAGAGCCCCACCAGGTAGAAAATCACAGGACTTGTTGAATCACTCAGATTCCTTTCAGCTCTTGCTTTATGAATCTCAAGCCTGAAAGGAACTTTTCCCACACTCATTAAGTTCCCAGGGTTTCTCATTGGAGTAAAGCCTTAATGTATGCTGAGACCTGAACTATACTAGTGGGTTTTCCCAGTTTCACCAAATTCAAAAAGTCACTCCAGTACACATTCTCTGATGTGCAAAATGGGTGGAACATTGGCCAAAGGCTTTTCCGCATACATTCTATTCCCAGGTTTCTAACTAGCAGGGTGAGTTCACTGATATTTGTAAATGAAAGAGGTTTGGCTAAAGATTCTCCCACATTCGCTATTTCCATAGCGTTTTTCTCAAAAATAAATTCTCTGATGTTTATTGAGAGATGAGCTCTAAAAGGCCCTCCCACCTTTATTGCTTTCAAAGACTTTTCTATGTGTTCTTGGTGCTTAGTAAGAGAAGTATCACAGATTGCTTTTACCACACTTGAGTTATCTGATATTTATTTACTTACTTACTTACTTTCTGAATAGTATGTGACTGAAGGCTGTGCCACACTCAGTGCATTGATAAGGCTTCTTGCCAGTAGAATCTGTCTGCTGTTGAATAATATGTGTCCTCTGACAAAAGCCTCTCCAAATCAATCACATTTACTTGGTTTCTCACTAATACGGATCCTCTGGTGTTTGATAAAGGGCGAGGTGTAACAGAAAGCCCACCTTTTCTCTTGACATCTAAAGAGCCTTTCTTTAGCATGTACTGTCTGATGTTGAATAAGACAGGTCTTCCAACCAAGTCTTCCCACATACATTACACATACAGGATCTCTCTCCACAGTGTGTCATGTGAAAACTGTGTGTGCTCCAGCTGAAAGCCTTCCTACATTGACTGAATTCATAAGGCTTTTTTTCCAGTATGACTTTTCTGATGTTTAATAAGGGACGCAGTATGAGCAAAGGCTCTCCCACATTCATTACATTTGTAAGGTTTCTCTCCAGTATGAAATCTGTAATGTTGAGTGAGAGATGAACTCTGGCTGAAGGCTCGCCCACATTTATTACATTTGTAAGGTTTCTCTCCAGTATGAAATCTGTAATGTACAATGAGAGATGAACTCTGGCTGAAGGTTCTCCCGCATTCCCTGCATTCATAGGGCTTTTCTCCAGTGTGAGTTCTCTGATGTTTAATAAGAGATGAAGTATGACCAAAGGCTCTTCCACATTCATTACATTTGTAGGGTTTCTCCCCAGTATGAAATCTGTAATGTAAAACAAGAGATGAACTCTGGCTGAAGGCTCGCCCACATTCACTGCATTCATAGGGCTTTTCTCCAGTGTGAGTTCTCTGATGTTTAATAAGGGACGAAATATGACCAAAGGCTCTTCCACATTCACTGCATTCATAGGGCTTTTCTCCGGTGTGACATCTCTGATGGCGCCTCAGTTCTGACTGGAAATGGAAAGACTTCCCACATTCATTACATTTACAAAGTTTCTTTCCTGGATGGCTTCTCTGGGAGTTATTTCTCCCTGAAGTCTGTCTGAATTCTGTGTCACATTTATAGGCTCCTTCTCCTATAGGAACACTGCGTTGGTTAACAAGGACTGATCTTAGGTCTAAACTTCTCCCAAATTCACTCCGTTCATGATCTATCTTAAGGGTGGTAGATTTCTGAGAGATTGGCATTCCTTTCAGATGTCTCGCCTGGATTTTTGGTTGTATCTCTAATTGGTCATCACAACCACGGGATGCTTTCAGTTTGCAGAAGCAGAATTCATCTCTGATGTATTTTTCCACTGATGCTATCTGGAGTAATTCTTCTTTGGAAATTCCCTGATTCAGTACTGATTCCTTGGCTTTAGGCCTTTTCTCCCAGTCTGAGAGGAGGGAAGAAAAAAAAAAAGACAAGACATTCTCATATTAACTGTTCAATGTGCCCAGAGGAAGTAAAGTCCTATAATGGATGTAAGGTAATGAAGCTTTAAAATAATATCCGAGATGTGTACAGTTTCTTTCAAGTATAGTGTATATCTGAAGAAGGTTTTGGAGTTATCAAGAGGTGATAAATTACTGAATGGAGATTAGGAAAATCTAAAAAAAATAGCATTTGGATTCCAGTACACAAGGTAAATCTAACATAAAGATGAGAAGAGGGTAGGAAGATGTCCTCCACAAAGTCCCCTCAGCACCTCAGTAATATATTATAGTATATAATTGTGACAGGCAGAATAATTCTCCCCCAAAGACATCCATGCTCTAATCTCAAGAACTTGTAAATGTGTTATCTTACATGGCAAAAAGGACTTTGCAGATATGATTAAGGGCCCAAACCTTTAGATGGGGAGATTATCCTGGATTATTCAGATGGGCCCAATCTAATCACATAAGTCCTTAATTAAAATCAGAGAACATTTCCTGGCTGGGTCAGAGAGATGTGTAAGAATGACTCAGCCCACCATTTCTGGCTTTGAAGATGGAGTAAGGGTGCCATGAGCCAAGGAATGTAGCAGTCTCTAGAAGCTGGAAATATTTCTCAGTTGACAGCCAGCAAGAAAACAGGGATCTCAGTTTCACAACTGCAAGAATTGGTTCTGCCAACAACTCAAATGACAGAAAACAGAATCTACCCTAGCGACTCCAGAAAGGAACACACCTCTCCTGACATCTTTTGTGAGATCCATGCCAGATTTCTGACCTATGAACTATAATTAAACTCGTGTTTAAAGTTATTAAGTTTGTATTCGTTTGTTTCAGCAATAACAGAAAACTAATGTAATAATAGTAACACTTCTGAAGAGGTAAATGATTACTGATGCCAGTGCTCCCAGAAGCCATATTCTGAATCAGTAGGTCTCATGTGGCCCCTGGAGATGTGGATCTTTAATAGGCTCCCTGAGAGATTCTGAAACACAGCCATGTTTATAGAGCACTGTCAAGACTAGATCCAGAGGTCACACCCTTGCTCCCATTCTAGAAGGAAAAAAGATCAAGAAAATATGAATATAGCAGAGATTAGCAACTTCAGTCTCTGATCTCTATTCTAGGCTCCTTTACTGAGGCCCAGCCTGTGTTCCCAGGATATGAGCACTTATTTCCTGAGATTTCTCTCTGACCCAGGGCTATGATTCTACCTGAGATTAATACTGGCACAGACTGTCACCTTCCTCCATTGTGCCTTAGTTACACATGGCAGGCAAGAAGAGCTTGAGTCCAGAATTCTGCTCCAAGAAGTGAGGCTCATCAGGTACTCTCAAGTTACCTAGGAACACGTGGTCTCAAAGAGGTGACATCAGTAGACAGTAAGGAGTAATTTTTTTTCCTGGAACCACCTCTGTTGAAGCTCAGCTTGATCAAGCATGAAGTGTCTCTACCTTGATCTTCTTGACATCTACCATCTTTCCTTGCCTGTAAACCTTTAATTTCTAGGCTACTCTACTGTTTGGTCTTTCACTAACTCTCTTAATCCTGCTGGCAAAGGAGGGCCTGGCCATTTACAACTGTCAATCCTTTGACTCCATCCAACATCGTCCATATGACATCTAGTGATGCTGAGTGGCACCAAGAACCTAGAAAGGGTGGGCAGAGATGGGTTCCAAAGTGTAAATGCTAGAGAAGAAAATGAGCATCTCTTCTTTCTGACACCAGACATAATTACAAAAGTCCGAGAATATTCAAAATACTGCAGTGGAGAGCTCCTGACAAGTGGTTTTACCTTCTCAAAGGAGAGCCCCGTGAGCAAGGGTTCAGGGCAATTTCTCACCCCTGGCTGGTCCTTATTACGTGTGATGTTGCTTAGTTCTCATTCACTCACCTGTTGATATTTCTCCCTCTAATACACAGGGTTCTTTCCCTTTCTCCAACTGGGAGATGACATATGGTTTAGCCACTGGAAGCCCTGATGGTAGAGAAAGAAAAGGACCATGACTCTGTATGTTAGAGGCCAAGGCTTTGGCTCTAAGTCTTTCTGAGGGAGATCAGACTGTAGGTGTAGAAAGCCTCCAAAGAATAGGCACTGTAAAATATTGGGAGCAGAATCATGAAACTTCATATGGAGCAGAACTTTTTCTAGGAATGAGGACCCCAAGGACAATGTAAATGTCTAATTCCATAACCCCAGGGCAAAACTCAGCAAACAGGCCTAGAAACCCCAAGCTTTTAAACACCAAAGAAATAAAGATGGCAGGCCTGACAGGCAGGCTTTGGGCTTTGTGGAGGAGCTGAGCTCACCCAGAGAGGCCAGGTTCTTGAAGTTCTCCAGCATCACTACCCTGTATAGGTCCTTTTGAGCAGGGTCCAGCTGTCCCCATTCCCACTGGGTGAATTCCACAGCTACATCCTCGAATGTCATCAGATCCTGAAACACAGAAAATACTCTTGTACCCTAAGGGAACACACTAGCAGCCCCAGGGAGAAGAGTGGGTGGATGTCTTAGTAAAACCTTAGGATGTAGAAGGGATTCCAAGAGTTCCTAGCTACCCCAGTGCCCAGCGTTTTTTGTTTGTTTGTTTGGATTTTTTTAGATTTTATTTATTTGACAGAGATCACAAGTAGGCAGAGAGGCAGGCAGAGATAGTGGGGGGGAGGTTAGCAGGCTCCCCGCTGAGCAGAGAGCTTGATGCAGGGCTTGATCTCAGGATTATGACCTGAGCCGAAGGCAAAGGCTTTAACCCACTGAGCCACCGAGGCGCCCCACCAATGCCCAGTTTTGGGTCTTGTCATCCCCAAAATATTTTAAGCTGCTCCAGGGACTGTATTATTGTTACTACTTGGATCCTACCCACTGATGCCAACTCGTCAGTATCACGCTACTTAGAAATATAATCGGGATCTCAAGATCTCAGGCCTACAGAGACAGTCTGCTTACATAAGGGAGGTAAATGCAATCCATTTCTTCCATTTTCCACATAGTTGCATTTAATTAGAATCAACTAGAAGTAACAGACTAATATGTTTTGCATTCCTTTTTTCTTCAGATGCATTTACTTATTTGAGAGAGAGCATGAGTGAGTGTGGGAGGGGCACAGAGAGAGGAGAGAGAAACTCCAGCAGATTCCTCACTGAGCTTGGAGCCTGACATGGGGCACCATCCCAAGACCCCAAGATCATGACCTGAGCCCAAACCAATAGTTGGACGCTTAACCAACTGTGCCACCCAGAGGCCCCTGTTTTGCATTCTCAAATGCACTAGTAACAACAGTCTCCAACTATTTTTGAAACTTGTGGCCTATGATTTTAAAGACAAGTTTTACTAAGTCCAAATCAAATAATTGGGGATTTAGAATAATATATCACCACCACTACACAGTTCAGTGAAAGTATATCCAGTGGCCTTATAATGAATCAATAAGTCTTTTGTGAGTTTGATTAACACGAATCCTCTCCCCCAAACCCTAATCACTTTTTGTCCCGACTCATTCAATTCCTGAATGTGCAAAACTGACAGACCCTGAATCCCAGGTCCCCACAAGGTACAACCATTCTGTGGGTCCCAGTCAGGACTCTCCTGTCATCCTCTGTAACAGCAATCAGAACACCTCCCATCTGACTGTTAAATCCCTGTTACTCTTCCCAAAATATGTTTAGAAATCAAATCCCATTTAGGCATTGATTCCATAAAATAAGTCAAAGTAAAATTTTACATTAACATGAAAGTCAGTCCAAAATAAAATATGGAAAACTCACTGCTATAGTAACATTTTGTGATAGATTATATTATTTGCTCAAAATAATCCTGTAGGCTCTCCCTACAGGATTGAGTTCCCTGTCCCAACAACCCAGGGGTGGTCAAATAATCTGCTTTCACAAATGGGATGTAAAACAGGTAATGCAGGCAAGATATAAACCTTTGTTGGTATAAGTCTTTGAGAGTTTGCTGTTGTTATTACAGCATAACTATCCTAAACCGACTCATTATGAAACTAGTACTTAATGTAGGGTTCTGCCATAGCAAAAAGCCTAAAATATCTGACTTTGGCTTCAGGGCCAGTAGTAAAGAAACCTACTGGTAAGATGGCAACCTACATGATTTGATGGTGAACTGTGTGCTAAAACTGTTGCCGGCAGTAACTGCAAAGATGAACAATGTAAGCATGAACTTGTGATGTTACAAGAAGAGGCTGGAACATCCGTAGTGTGAGCTGGTTGTTACTGGCAGAATCTGACAAAATATTACAAGAAAAAAAAATGAGCTTAAGAGTTTGTGAGTTTACAAAATAAAAATGGAAGGCAAAAGAAAGTGTCTAGAAATTCCAGGACTTGGAGAGTTAGAGATTAAACCAGTTCTCCTTAACAATTGGTGAAAGACAATGTAAATAAGGCTTTTGCAATGACAAAGGATGATTAAAACTCAACCTAAGGGAAGGACCAAATCATGAGTGTGGTAATCAAACCTTTTGTTTAAACCTCTGAATAATTCCAGATGGCTCCTAGGATATCTTTAGGGCAACCAAACTGCTTACTGTCTAAAAGAATGGCTGTCCTGAGAAAAACCCTCAAAGCTCCACAATTAAGCCTAAAAAAGTGTATATTTTAAAAAGAACTGTGGGTAAAACTTGACACATGGAAGTGACAGAAAACAAATACATTAAAAACTGATTACATTTTGAGAGTTACACTGAACGTCCATGACTTGAAAAAATCCTTGGGCCATCAACCTACTCAGGCAGGATGAAAAAGCTGCCTAGCCCTCAAGTGAGTTTATTCTCCAATATCATTTCCTATGTGACCAAGGAGGATACTGCAAAAGGAACTTGTGGGGCAGAGCCAAGAGCTAAGGAAAACATGGGACTCAGGAGCTCCACCCGGGGAAGAGAACCCAGACAGAACCAAAAGACTTCCCAGTCCCAAGATCAGTGGTTCTCACCAAGTCTGCCAAGTGGAATATCTTAACAGTTATGGACCTGAGACTGCTGGGCTTCTCCCTTGCTTCCCTGTTTTGAATAGGGGTTTCTTACTGTGGTTATCCTTTTCCACTGTATGTTGGATATATGGATTTGGGCAGTTTGTCCTTTTAGTTCATAGGTCTCCAGATCCAGAGGAGAAACATCCAGACCTGATGTTGAGGCCATCACCCCATCCAGGACTTTGATCTTGATGTTCCTACTAGGTAACTAAATGGAGTTTTGGGGTTATCTCTTGGGGAGGGAATTTGTGTGGAGGAAAGCGAGTGAATTTTTGTAAGAAAACAGTGGTAGACTCATTAGTTGTTCAAAATAGTCACTGCCCCTCCCCTGGCGCCCCTCACTATGGGAGGCTTATATTTCCCATCTCACTGACATTAGGCTTGGCCACATGACTTGCTTCAGCCAATGGATTGTGGGTAGAAGCAACACATGTCCTTCCTGGGCAGAAGCCAGAAGAACCATCTCCTGGCTCTGACATTGCATTTCTCCCTGCCACATAACATATCCCAGAGGAGGACTAATCCTTCAGCCTAAATCCCAGAGCAAAGAGGGTGTTGAGCAGTCACCGCCAGTCCACTACTGATACGTAACAGAGAAGAAATACACCTTTGTTACTTTGGGCCATTGAGATCTATAGGCCACTGTCACCACGGTATAATTAGATTAAGCTCTCTGATATACCTCTGAATGGGTACATCAAGGCCAAAGAGGTTTAAACTCTATTTATTACTCTACTAGTTATTTGTGAGACTTCCATACTGGTTGGGGTTTCCCCCATTTGCTAGAAAATTAAACACAATATCTATCATTAAGCTAGAATACATGAAACTATCATTTAGGTAGTACCAAGATGGTATCACCTTGGCATCCATGCTAGGAAGCCATGCAGTCTGGCATCCACAGCCCTCCACTTGGTTCTCCGGACCACTATAGCCAACCCTGAATGCATTTCTGGAGTCAGTCACCATTATCCCTTCTACCCCCATCACAACTGCAGCTCACAAGGACTAAGCAGTTACCATTTGCCAGAAGACGGCAACAATGATATGAGCTAGCTGCATTACTGAGTGGTTAAGATCTCAGAGTCAGACAACCCAGATCTGAAACTAGAATGCCTTCCTTATGAGCCAGATAACCATAAACAAGTTACCTTATCTCTCTATGCCTTGGCTTTCTCAGTTGCCTCTCTGTGCCTCAGATGCCATTCTTCAAAATGAGAATGTTTGAAAAGATGAAATGAGTTAGTTCAAGTAAACTGTGTAGAATAGTTCCTGATATATATTTAGTTCTCAGTACATAATGGCTATTACTGCTTTCATCATTATCATTAACATGATTACCATCTTCATTTTACAGTTGGCAAAAACAATGCATAGATAAGTCAGGTGGGTCTTCCAGCAAGGAAGTAGTGCGTTAAGTCTATCTCCTCACTAATCCAGGAAGATAATATCTGAACAGGGACATAGACTCAAAATGGCTTCCCCACCTGTCTATACCCTCAGAACCTTGTCCCTCTTCTCCATGAGCCTTCCCCCAGCCTCTCCAGCACAGGCTGATTTTTCCTTTTACTAAACTTTGAAGGAAAGGCCTATCCGCACCACTCCCATCTGTCATTAAATCGTGCATATCCTGTGACTGGGGCTGCATCCTAGGTACCAGAGTCCTCTCCCTTCTGTGGTAGTGACATTCTTTCAAGGCCAGGGCTCTCTCACATTACTTGGTACTCACTGCAGTGCTCATGACAGAAATAAACCAAAGGATCTGAGTGAGTACATACAGAGCAGAGAGGAGAGGGCCCTGGAAAGGGCCAGGTAGGCCAGCATCCACCTTGATGGGCTCAGGCTCCTACAGAGCAGGAATTGGGGTCAGTTCCCCTTGGCATTGAACAAAGGGGCTCCAGAGAAAAGGGGGCAAAGACATCCGTAGTTCAGCCATTTGAGAAAAAAACGAAGAGAACCTCAACTCACCTGGGGCCTGGCTTTCAGGAATAAACTGGTTGTTCCCTTTTCTCCTGGGTATCTCTCTGGAGGAAGAGGAGGGTCCTGAGAAGGGAGAACTAGGAAGGTAAAAGGAGCCATAAGGAAGGCTAACCCCATGGCCTTTGCAGCTCCCAGACTCCCCACACTAGAGATCCCTGAAGACTCAGTGTGTCTTGGTTCTGGGGACAGAGCTGGTTCAAAGAGAGCTGAGTGGCAGCCTCTAGCTCTCCCACATGAGAGAGAAGTGCACAAACTCCCCGCCCCCTTCGTGTCCAAAGGCCACAGCAGGCTGCAGGTAACTTAGGTTTCACCATAGCTTGGCCACTCCACTGGACAGTTATTTACTGGGCATCCACAATATAAACGTGGAAAAGACTTCCAAGAAACTTTAAATCTAGCCTGCAGTATAAGACAGGTTAAGAATACAAAACAAGGTCCAGGGCAAGGCCACAGAGGGATACAGACTCTTAAGGGAAAGCAAGACACACCTTTCCCCTCATCCTTGGGAAGCCAGCTGAGAGGTCGGTTCTTCCTGACAAGTTCCCAAGCATCCTTAGGTCTCTGCAACCATACTTTGCAAATCCCTCTATGATAGGGTTTTGTCCCTTACTGCTTTTAAAGCCTGAAAATCAACTATACCAGATAAGTGGTCATAGCTAACAACAACAATAAAAGCATGGGTGGCAAGCAGCATGGTACAGTACAGGTCAGCACTTCTCAAACTTGAATGTGTATAGGGATTCCTGAGGATCTTCTTAAACAGACTCTGATTCAATGAATGTAGGGTAGGGCCTGAAAGCCTGCATTTTTAGGGAATTTCGAGATGATTCCTGTGCTGATGGTCTACAGAACACAAGGCATAAAGGAATACAGAGAGGGTGGTAGTCCCAGAGATGCAGCCCAGTTCTGCCACTGGCCAGTCTTGTGACCTTGAGCATTGGCACTGAAGACTGAAAAGTCAAATTAAAATGCCGTTTGGTGAAGGACAGTAGATTCTAAATTTACAAAGGAATGGCCTAAAACCTCCTGGGTCACCTAGATTGCCTCCTCCCAAACACTAGTGAAAGAGCGGTACAGGAGGTGCTCCCCCCCCCACTGTGCACTGCTAATCTTGTACAGTTGAGCTAGAGGAATCTTATCAATGAAGCAATAAAGGAAAGGGCGGGCGGACTCTAAATGGCCCCACTGCCCTCTGATCTCTGGCCAAGGGCTACTCCCCCACAGCTTTGTATTGTTCATCCTCTCCCTCCCACATAGGAAGAGATACTCTCCGGGCCCGCTACTCTCTCCTCTGGCCTTTGGGAAGACTTCCGTGGCCATCCCCTCCACTTTCACCATGTTATCTGGATACTGGGACCTCATGCTCCTGGGCCTGGCAAATTAGGAAATGCCACAGGGAAGACGGTTACAGGCTCTGCCCCATCACTGGAGTCCCCGGCTTATTTCTAGAGTTGTCCTCCTCCTCGGCCCACTACTAACTCCCCAGAAGGGCTTCTGGCCCTCTGCACCCTCGAGAGCCAAACCTGATGCTGTGGAGTCCATAGCTGGGGCTAAGGGGCGACGTCCTTTCACTAGGTCCAAATCTCTGTTCTGCGGCCGCAGCCCTGCGGTCCTCCCTACGATTCAGGGAGCAGGGAGCACGCTGGGTGACGCCGGGCATTCCCACTCCGCGCGGTGACGCCCAGCCGACCCGCACGGCCCTGACAGGGATATCAAACCCGGACTGCCGCCCCGGCGCGGAGCTCTGCCGCCGGAGGAGGGGCCGTTCCCCCGCTTTCAGGCGCGCTCTCAGACCCCTCACGAGCCGGGCCTGGGCGCACTGGCGCCGCTCCGCCGCCTTTCTCGGGACCAGGCTCTAGAACCCAGTTCCCTCGCAGACCCACACCCACAGCGACGACTACACCACCAGGAGGTACGTCCGTAGCCACGCCTCCGACCTCGGGGGCCAGTGCGCCTCCGCGGCCCTAAGACAGCAGGTATTCGGGAGAGAGCCTCACAGGGACACGGACCGGCCCTGCAACTCTGTCCCCTAGCTCTAGGCCCCCATAGTCCCTCGCAGCCGGGCAGGCGGAGGAGCACTCCCAACTCTGTCACGGGCTGGGGCGCGACGCCCGCGATAAGCCCACGCGCCCGAAGTCACAGGTCCCACAAAGAGTAAAGCCCTTCCCGGCCCCAGACCCAGCCCCTGAGCCCAGACCGTTCCGAGCCTGCGCAGATGAGCCGCCTCGCGGGGGTCAAACAAGCGAGCGTCCGGGGCGGGTCCGCGGGGCGCGGCGAGTGGCGCCTGCGCCCTGGGGGCCGGAGACAATGGTCCTGAGGGTGCGGGCGGGGAGTCCTCTGGGAACGGCCCTGTTAGCCACCGACCAGGGTAGAGGGTTTCTCGGGCTCTCACCACCAGCTGGGAACTGAGAGCAACTTCCATTTTAGGCTCCATGGCCAGGTTTGGGGCTGTCCAACCAGAAGCCACTGGAAATTTGTTAAAAAGAGAAGCCTGGCCCTACCCTCAATCTGCCAAATAAGGATTTACAGGAAACTCTCTAGGCGTATCTCTTACAGAGTGCCCGGACATACAGATGGCTTATTGCTAGTTACTTACTGCTCTTCTACAGGCCGTCCCGTGCCTCTCCGCCTTCCTCCCACTGCTCCAAATTCAGAGTTCAGAGAAGGGTCAACGAAGAAACGATATGGACTCCTTCCTGCTCCAGAAAGGAGTATCATTTACGACCTAAAAGAAATGTAGAAATGGTCTGAATATTAAAACGATGGCTCTCAGGAGGCAGTCCTCAGCCAGAGAGGGGACTTGTAAGGACTGAGTGGTTTATAGACCCTATCTAGGGGTTCTGGGACAACCCATTAAGTCAGGGCAAAACCCACCATTTTCCCCTCTTGCTTTTCAATCCGTCACTTTTTCCCAGCACTCTCGGTGGCACACATGGCCAGGATGGCATAGCAAGTGCCCAAAAAGCAAGCCCTCTTCCTCTGGGGCGCGGAGGGGGCCGGCAGGCCACGTGGGGGTGCTGCCAGGGAACCGTGGTTTTGGCCCAGGAGTTTCTGTTCTCTTCTGTGCTCTGGAACCAAGAAGGGAAAGGGATGGGCGAATGAGAAAAAAATGTCATCTCATTTGTAACTTAGCACAACTAGACAGAAATGAAACTGCTTCAGATTATCTTGAGGAGTGCCTTTGTGCCTGGTGTGCCTTTTGGCATTGGCCTGCTACAGTGTCTGAAGTTTCTGTCCTCTTAAATTCAGGACAGAGCCTGATCCAGAGGCCTATGCCACAATGCACATGTTACCCAAGAGAGTTAATCAATAGCTTAACAAGGATGTCCCCTCTTCCAGAGTGTTCTCACGTGCCACTCGAGGTCAACTACTGTTAGGGGAGCTCTGGTTCCCAGCAACCCAGTAAGTTTGTGCACTGCCCCCAACATTCCCTTTTGCTGCTCCTTTATAGTCAAACATTTCTCCCATTCCAACCCAGTGTGACTACTGTTCTGTACACATAGTTTTGCCTTTTACAGAATGTCATATAAACAGGATTATATCGTATGTAGCTTTTCTTTTTAAATATTTTATTTATTTATTTGACAGAGAGAGATCACAAGTAGGCAGAGGCAGGCAGAGAGAGAGGAGGAGGAAGCAGGCTCCCCAATGAGCAGAGAGCCTGATTCGGGGCTCGATCCCAGGACCCTGGGATCAGGACCTGAGCCAAAGGCAGAGGCTTTAGCCCACTGAGCCACCCAGGCATCCCTAGTATGTAACATTTTGAGAGTGGCTTTTATCACTCAGCATAAAGCCCTTGAGATCCATCTCTGTTGTCATGGGGATCAATAGTTCATTCCTTTGTATTCTTGACTCCAGCTGTCCTGTAAGGAAGGCTGTCCTAAGGAGCCATACACCACATCCACTTACATTCTATTTAGAAGAACACTTGGCTACATCTAGCTGCAGAGAAATGTACTCTTTAAACATGTGCCTGGCTAAAATTCTATTGCCATGGAAGATGGAGAGAAAAAAAAAGAAGACACCAAATTTTAGGAACAATATTGGTAAACTGTAGTTTGCTCAGAGGAAGAGCAGGTGACAAGAACATCTCTAAATCAATTAGCCTGAGGGAGATGGCTTATTCTATTTTAAGCATATTATTAAAAAAAATGTAAAGGTGCTTTTGTAAGGCAGAACTGAAGCATAGATTTTTCTACAGGTCCCCTGTGTGCTCAGGCATCCATCATCACACAACCTCCAACTTTCCTGGGTTGGGACCCCCGTAGTAAAAACAGAAACCTGTTCACAATTAGGACTCAGGAGTATGCAGTCATTGAGAGTGGACTAAAGATGCCCCAATGGTGGCCATTCTGAAAGAAGGTATTATGAAAACAAAAACATAGAAGTAGAAAGCCATTCCAATCTGGAATCAGATCTGGGTATTAAAAGCAACAGTGTTTTTCAGGTATAGTGTGAAATTGTGCCTGAATATTTCTCTCCCACCCATCACCCAGCTTCTGATCATATGCAATTTCCACTCTCAGTATCTAAGGCTAGATAAATTAAAAACAACAAGGGAACAGCAAGAAAGGATGTCCGTCTTAGACATCATGACTTCAATCAAGTCCTAATCCTGGAAGATCCAAACCCTTACTACAGTACAAAACCATCCCCAATCTGGCCTCAAGTTACAGTTGTCAGACCCTAAATACCCACCGGCCACTCATCTTGCTACTAATTTTTCGCACTTTTATCCCCTAGTCTGTTAACTTTACAAGATGCTATTCTCTCTACATAGATTGCACTGTGTGTGTGTGTGTGTGTGTGTGTGTGTGTAAAAGGTTTTATTTATTTGGGGGTGGCAGAGGTAAAGAGAGAGAATCCCAAGCAGAGTCCACACTGAGCATGGAGCCCAACTTGGGATCCTGAGATCCCTGAGATCATGACCTGAGCCCAAAGCAAAAGTCCGAAGCTTAACCAACTGAGCCACCGAGACACACTTTCTTTCTTCTTAATAAAGCAAGTGAGTGTTTTTTTTTTTTTAAGATTTTATTTATTTGACAGAGATCACAAGTAGGCAGAGAGACAGGCAGAGAGGAGGAAGCAGGCTCCCTGCTGAGCAGAGAGCCCCACGTAGGGCTCGATCCCAGGACCCTGAGATCATGACCTGAGCCAAAGGCAGAGGCTTTAACCCACTGAGCCACCCAGGTGCCCCAAAACAAGTTTTGTTTTTTGTTTTTTTTTTCCCCCAAGTGGATCAGTTATAAGACTGTAACTGTTACAGGCCTTTTTAAACATTTTCAGCCACAGTTAATTGCTTCCTGCTTGTCCTCCCCTAGTGTCTCCAATGTGACATATAGAACATACTGCATTGTGTTTTAACTCTTACATTCTGGTTTTTCCTTTAGACCATGAGTTCGTCTGAGGCAGTAACCATGTCTTATTTACATTTGTAGCAATGCCTTGTGTATGGTAGGCATTATAGATTTCTTGAGTGAAAGTGTAGATTTGTTTCCGAAGTAGTGTTTTATCATATTCTTGCAATCCCCAGTGTTCTCTGAAGCTCTAGCTCAGTGGTTCTTAGCTTTAGCAGCACATCAGAATCACCTGAAGATCTTTGTAAACTCTCTCTCCTCTGAGTGGACCCCACGTACCAATGTGTCCAAAGCTCTTCAAATTATTCTGACATGGAGCCACCGATGAGAATCCCTACATGTCTCCAACTAGGGCCCTTCTAGCAGTACCAAAGAAGGCAGGCTGGTGTGAGCTCACACTGTCGGCAGTCGGCCAACTGCCCAGTTAGACAGACGTGTATCGTGGGCTTTCCTCTTCCGGCGCAAAAATGTGCACATACCCTGCCTCAGGCCCAGACTTGTCCTAGAACCAAATTCTGCCTTTCTCCCAAATTTCAGAACAAAATGCCTGAAAGCGGACAAGCTGAAGCAGGAAAATCCTCTTCCAAGCGCCAGGAGACTCGTTCTCTGTCTTCCGTCAGTGAAAAACAAGGGTAGGGACCGGCCCCAAAGATCACATTTCCTCCGGATGGCCCTTCCATCAGAGGACTGGAGGGACGTGACAACACACGTAGGCAGTACTTCCAGGGTCTTATAATTCTCCCATACATCTTCTCTCACCTGGCTACAGCAACTGGAACACTCTATTCAACCCGCCATAGAGCCTTCAGCCCCGTTCCCAGAAACGTGCGCTTGCGCAAAATTTTATACGTCATATTGGAGCGCGCCGACCGCTGAGACTTCTGGGAAATGGAGTCTGTGAGGAGGCCGAACACTGTAAGCGCAGACGTCAGAGTCTTTACGCAGGCGCATTGCTTTTCAGACCTGAAGAGGCGCCGTCTTCCTGGGTACCCAGCACTCTGTGCAGGAGGTGAGCTCAGGCTGCGGGTGTTTGACTTCGAGATGTGGAGTGAGCGCAGCGGCCGAGAGAAGGGGACACTGAGAACTTGGGGGAGGTGCTGTGGGAGTTCAACGGGGTGACGCGGGTGAAGCCAGCCTGCAGAGAGAGAGAGAGAGGGTGTGTGTGTGTGTGTGTGTGTGTGTGTGTATGTGTGTGTATCCCAGCTCGGAGAGGTGCAGACGGAAAGTTGCCCCTCGCTTCCTGTGTGTGTGTGTATTCCGTGGAGTGTGGGCACTGTCAGGAGTGATCTTTCATCATACACCCACTATATGCCAGATCCCAACTTTCAGGTTGGAAGTTTGGAGCCTTCTTCCGCTCCTCTCGTCCTCCTTCCCATAATGGGTGTTTAATAAATATGGGTGGAATCAACACTAAATCTGTGGGGACGCCGGCTCCGCCCCTCCGTCTTTCTCAGAAAACATCTCAGATTGTCTCGGTTGGCTCGCTCCGTACGAGGCCCTCGTTTAAGGATAGATACATCATGTTTTAGACTACATCATTGAACATTAAAAAAAAAATTTAACCAAGGAAGTTTAACTTTTAAGCTGTTTGGAATCCATTGTTGAAACCGATGGTTATTATTTAGCTTATTGACAAGTTTGATTCTAGAAGTAACTACATCTCTGAGATATCTGTGATTTTAAAAAGGATATTTGCAAATTGAGTCTGAGATGCAGTCCTTAAAGCACTTGGCTTGACATATATGGTTATCCATTAAACCAGTTATTAAAGCTACCTTAATGCCTAATGTGTCTGTTTCAGCTGTCAATATCATGCACAATCTTTAGTTCAGAGGAATGAATGGTAAAACGAATGCTTTAATATCATTCTTTAGTTGCTAGGGGCCTTGATGAGGCAGGGCCTATCATGGAGGAGATAGGATTTGGGATGGGGGGATGGGAAACAGGGAAGAAGTAGCAAAGCATTAGGCAGATTTGAGAGGGAGCTGATTTTAACTGGAGTGAAGTGTCAAGGAGTAGTGGGAGACAAGGGTGGAGAAAAGCACACTGGCACGAGAACACAGAGGATCAGGACAAAACACAGGGCAAGTGGATAGTATAGTTCTGATCTGAAGACTGTCAGGAAGAAAACTATTTGGGGACAGTAATTCTAGAGGTCACATCAGGACTAAAGAAAGAAAGGGACTAGTGGCAGGGAGCCAGTTGGGAATGCAAGGTAATCCCGATGTGGGTTGTTACAGACCTGAAATAATGGTGTCAGTGGTAGGAAAAGATAAAAATGACAATGCAGAAGAAGAGTCAGAAGGACCTGGTGAGGGGCGCCTGGGTGGCTCAGTGGGTTAAAACCTCCGCCTTCGGGTTGGGCCATGATCCAGGGTCCTGGGATCGAGCCCTGTGTCAGGGTCTCTGCCTGTTGGCCTGCTTCCACCCCCCTCTCTCTGCCTGCCTCTCTGCTTATTTGTGATCTCTGTCTGTCAAATAAATAAATAAAATATTTAAAAAAAAGAAGAAGAAGAAGAAGGACCTGGTGACTAGATTTGGGAGGAAAGAGAGCAAGGTAAAAGTTTGAATTGGGGGCATCTGGGAAAATAATAGAACATCTGACAGAAATGTCAAGCTAGGGAGAGGGATTAATTGGGGAGTTGCATAGGGGAAGATGTCTTAAGGTGCTGGCAGAATGCCTGAATCAAAATTTGCAGTCACTTGGAAATGCCAGCTGAGTTTGGAAGAGGCATTGGGTCTAGACTGGAAACCATCTCTGTAGAGATGGAAAATGGAGGGCCGGGTGGATGGCCTTTCTGAGGGATAGCAGGAACATTGTACAAAGACTAAGTGTTGTTGGGCAGCAGCTAAGTTTCCAGGGCAAGACTGGGGAAAAGAAGCAGGAACTTGTCAGAATAATCAAAAGCTGCAGAGAAATAAAGATAAGGAGAAAAAGACTATTGTAATTAGAGGTGCATTGGTAATTTTCAAGTGTACAGTTTCAGGTGGTGAGGGGTGACAAGAACAGAAAAAGATTCAAAAAGAGGAGATGGAATTGATAAGTATGTGTTACCAAGAACTTTGATCATGAAAGGAAAACCTAAATGAGAACTCTTGCTAAAGAGAGGCCATGGGATTCAGTGAAGAAGGTTTCAGAGAGATGAGGGTTGTGTCTGAAGATATGGGGAAGAAGTTACTGGTGAGCTGGGAGATGGTGGAGAAAGCAAGATCTGGTAATGCAGGGAACAGATTCTGAAAAGCAACAGTAGTGGAAAAGGAGGTAGGACACAGAGGACACTCAGGGAAAGACCCAGAGACAGAAACATTTCTGTTTCATCCTCACACCTCATGCTACCACGCACATAGCAGGTCCTTGGATGTATTTGTTGACTTGTAGGATGAATGGGTTGGTATTGGGCAGTTGAAAGGAAAGCAATTTTCATTTATTGAACAGACTAAGATAAATGCTTTACATTAACTGTCTAATTTACTGTTTATAACTACTCTGTGAGGTAGGTAGTAAACAACTGGAGGTCAACCTTTAGTTTAAGTAATTTGCCCAAGCCTTCATCATTAATAAATACGTGCCTGTGGAATGCTTTTTACCACACAGACTTTGGAACTCTTGTGAGTGAGCATTCTTCCAAAATTCTAATGTCAGCCGTAGAAGTTTGGAGTAGCTACGGGGCAAGGATGCAAACAGGAAAAGCTTTCTAGGCAAGGGCTCATTTGAAGATCTAGAATAAGAATTTGAAGAGGTTTTTTTTTTTTCTCTAGAAATACTCTGAGAACCAGCAGTAGGACAAGAGAAAACATAAGTGACTCCATGTGGATTTGGTGGACTTGGGAAGCCCTGAGTATCACGGGGAGGCTACTGAAGCGACTGCCAGGGGAGGGAAGTCAGCCTGGCAGGGATCCCACGAATAATGAGCACCTCGGGAGTATTGGCTGGTTACTGAATGGCTGGGGAGCTTTTATGCCCACCACCATTTGTAAGGTGTTCAGTGCTCGTTTTATGAAGTCATAATCCAATAAACAAAACTGAAAATTGTCTTTAAGGATTTAAACATTGAGCAGTTTCAACTACAATCTCAGATGTAGTTCAGCTGATTTGTTCGAAAAGCTCAAATGCTTTCGACAACATATTCAAATACTTTGATTCCAAAGTGATTCCTATACTTACACTTAAACCTATTCTAGAACAGCAACAGCACATTGTAATTAATGTTTTCATTATTTCTACCTTCCTAAGATTATAACCCGTAGCTAATGCTAACACGTAGCCCATTATTTTATATGCTTTATAGGTATTCTACTTACGCATCACAATAGCTCTGAGGTAGATACTTTCATTATTCTAATTTTACAGACGGGTGAACTGAGACAGAGGTTGAGAAACTTGCCTAAGGTCATACAGGTAGTAAGCAGAGCTGGAATTTTATTTCTGGCAGTGTCTCCTGTATCTCAAAATACTAATTTGGACTTCTTACGAGGGCCCAAGAGTAATGTTTTAAAACCCTTCTGGGAATGGAGGAATCTTGACAAGCAAGGGAAGGATTACTTTCTTAAACAACACAGCTTGCAGGCTACTGATGATGTCTTAGCTGTTTCCATTTGTGTATATATCACTCTGCCTCCTCCTAACAAGATTCAAATCCCAATCTCTCAGGTCCAAAAAAAAAAAAAAAATTGTAGTTACACTAAACATGTTTTTCCAGTATTTTTTTTTAAGTTTTTACCTTTTGCATAGTTTTTGGTTTTTTTTTTTTAAGATTTTATTATTTGGGGGCACCTGGGTGGCTCAGTGTGTTAAGCCTCTGCCTTCGGCTCAGGTCATGATCCCAGGGTCCTGGGATTGAGCCCCGCATCGGGCTCTCGGCTCAGCGAGGAGCCTGCTGCTTCCTCTCTCTCTGCCTGCCTCTCTGCCTACTTGTGACCTCTCTGTCTGTCAAGTAAATAAATAAATAAATATTAAAAAAAAAAAAAAGATTTTATTATTTGACAGAGAGACATCACAAGTAGGGAGAGAGGCAGGCAGAGAGAGAGGGGGGAAACAGGCTCCCCACTGAGCAGAGAGCCTGAGGGGGGCTCAATCCCAGGACCTGGAGATCATGACCTGAACCAAAGGCAGAGGCTCAACCCACTGAGCCACCCAGGCGCCCCACGTTTTGCATAGGTTTAAACATTTTTGCAAACTGGTGTTCACCCTCAAGGTAATAATCTTTTAAAGTTTTGTTTGGCCAGTGCTCAGTAACCCATTGTCTAGTAAATATATATTGGTCTGGTCTTTTTGAAAACTTAACTGTACCTTAGTAGTATCTCATAATTAATAAGACAAGATAGTGGGCTCATCTCCTAAAGGAGGAAGGATTAAGTCTTCATGGTTACTTTGCCTCTTTAGACGAGCTCATACTCCTTCTTCCTCTCCCCAGTACTGATTAGTCTGTTTGGGGTTTGACGTTCCTGATTCTGGGATTACTTGGTTTACCCACATTCCCTTGATTTCTTTTCTCATGCTTGTGTGAATGGACACAAGTATATATCCTAAGGATACATCTATACTTTGTGAATAGTCATACAATTAATAGGAAAAAAAAAAACAAAGTACTTATTTCTATCACTAAAGGTGTATTTTCCCTCTTTGTATTACAACGATTTTTAAAATATATTATTTTTTTTCCTCGTTTTGAGTATGGAACTCATGGTCTTTCAAAATTCAAACTGTTTCATTCAGCAATAGTAATTTTTATAACCTGGCCAGTGGAAGCCAGAATCACCTGATTTTTCCTATCCAAAGATGTGGCAACAGCTCAAACTCTAAATACTCCAAACTGTACCCATTAGCTTTCCCTCCAAACCTCCTCCTCTTCTGTTGCTCATCTCCATGAGTTGTACCTCTGTGCACACCATTGTTCAGATCAGTGACCTGGAGGTCATTCTTGCTTCTCCCATCACCCTCAGCCTCCACTGGCAGTCAGTCTGTTGTCTGCTCTTCTTTTTTTTTTTTTTTTTAAGATTTTTTTTTTTTTTAATTTGTCAGAGAGAGAGAGCACAAGCAGGGGGAGCTGCAGACAGAGGAAGAAGCAGGCTCCCCGATGAGCAAAGAACCCAATGCAGGACTCGATCTCAGGACCCTGGGATCATGATCTGAGCTGAAGGCAGATACTTAACCCACTGAGTCACCCAGGCATCCCTGTTCTTCATGTCTTGACAGTAGTTTCACTTTTGTCCATTTCTGCTGTCATTACTTTCATTCAGCTTTTCATCATTTTTCCTTATTTAATTATGAGATTCCTCACTGGTCTTCTCACCTCCATTCTTGCCCTCCTCTACTCCCATTCTGCTACAGCTACCCAGAATGGCATGGCTACCTGTGTCGGAGGTCCCCAAGATCACCCCCCATTCAGGGATTTGCTGGAAGGACGTGGAGCTCAGCCTGTACTTGCACTCATGGCTAAGACAAGGATGTACAGCTAGGTCAATCAGGGATGAGACAGGCAGAGTCTGGAGAAACCCAAATACAGGCTTTCTTGTGCTCTCTCCCTGCCATGAGGAGTCACACCAAACACATCCTCTCCAGCAATAAAAATGCAACAATGTATGTGTGATGTTCCAGCTCACAAAGGCTCATTAGAGGCTCAGAGCCCAAGTTTTTTTTTTTTATTGAGAGCAGGTCAGGTAGGCACTCTCTGCCTAACACATACCAAAATTCCAGACCCTCTGGCAGGAAAGCAAGTGTTCAACATAAACCACATCGTTTGTTCAAATAGTTTGGCATAATGGGCCACCCTTCTTTCTTAGGAAACTCTCCCCAAATTGAAGTTCCCAGACCTAGCCAAGGACCAACCTCGCAAATGGAATTTTCTGAGAATAGCTATCTTGGGTCTGCTTTAACTTTTCTATATACCCACATTCCTTCCTGGTTTTTTTTCCCCTGTACACCAAAGTAAATACATACTCATAAAAACAAAAATCAGAGTATAAAGAATTACAAGAAATAGAATAAAACCACTTAAAATGCCACCACTCAAATTCCACTTACATTTTAGTGTATATTCTTTCAGTCCTTTATCTATCCATATGCACATACACAATTAAGTAGTTTTAAGTGTGCATTCCTCACTTAATATTTGTAAATTTGTTTAAAAAAAAAACTCTCCTGGGGCGCCTGGGTGGCTCAGTCGTTAAGCAACTGCCTTCAGCTCAGGTCGTGATCCCAGGGTCCTGGGATCGAGCCCCACATCAGGCTCTCTGCTCAGCAGGGAGCCTGCTTCCTCCTCTCTCTGCCTGCCCCTCTGCCTACTTGTGATCTCTGTCTGTCAAATAAATTAAAAAAAAACAAAAACAAAAAAAAACCTCTCCTGGTTATCTGTCACAATTCCATATCCCTCCCTTTCCAGAGATAACTTGTAATTTGGTACTTATTGTCCCACACAGATTTTTTTTGTAGATATTATTTACCTGTTTTTAAGTTTGAGTTTTGTTTTTTTTTTTAAGATACATTTATTTGAGAGAGAGAGAAAGAGTGTGAACTTGGTAAGGAGGGGCAGAGGAAGAGAGAGAACCTCATGCAGACTCCCCAATGAGTGTGTAGTCTGATGCAGGGATCAACCTCATGACCCTGCGATCATGGCCCTAAGATCATGACCTGAGCCAAAATCAAGAGTCAGGGGCTTAACCAATTGAGCCTTCCAGGTGCCCTGTTTTTTAAGTTTTATATAGATGTTACACAGTAATTCTAAAACTTTATTTTTTGCTCAGTAATTACATTTTGTGATTTATTATTAACACAAAGCTCTACTTCATTCATCTTAATGTATAATATTCCAATACACATAAGTTCACACTTAAAATAACAATTGGTCCTTCTCATGAACATTTAAGTTGTTTGCAGTTTATCACTAGTGATCTTTTCCTCAATGATTTGTAATGCAGGCTCAGTTGTATATCAAGTTTCCCTACATGTTTGGATATGTTGGGGATTTTTTTATTCTTGTCTATTGGTCTGTTATCTGTGTGGCTATTTTTTTCATGAAAATAAAAATCATATTATAGCATTGAGGTTAAAAACTGATGGACAGACCTGGGTTCAAATTCTCCCTCAGCTTCTTTTAACCCTAACTTTCCTAATCTGTAAGATAGTAACTATCTGGGGCACCTGGGTGGCTCAGTCGTTAAGCGCCTGCCTTCAGCTCAAGACATGCTTCCAGGGTCCTGAGATCCAGCCCCACATCAGGCTCCCTGCTCAGCACGGAGTCCGCTTCTCCCTCTCCCTCTGCCTCTTCCCCAGCTTGTGTTCTCTCTCTGTCACTCTCTCCCTCAAATAAATCAAATAAAATCTTTAAAAATAAAGAAATTAAATAGTACCTACCTTATCAATTTATGAATATGGAATTAAGTTATCCCGAGAAAGAGTCTGCCTTTGGCTCAGGTCATGATTCCAGCATCCTGGGATCAAGCCCCATATTGGGCTCCCTGCTCAACAGGGAGTCTGCTTCTTCCTCTCCTGCTCCCCTGTGCTTGTATTCTCTCTCTCACTGTCTCTCTCTGTCATAAATAAATAAAATCTTTTTTTAAAGAAAGTGTCTGGTAAGTAACAAATACTAGCACAGTGCCTGGTAAGTCGCAAATACTCAATAAATGCTAGTTATTATTAATATGATATTAAATGGTATTACAGTGTATGGATATTATGGATTTAATCATATCTCCTGTTTTATTTTATTTTTTTAAAGATTTTACTTATTTATTTGACAGACAGAGATCACAAGTAGGCAGAGAGGCAGGCAGAGAGAGAGAGGGGGAAGCAGGCTCCCTGCCAAGCAGAGAGCCCGATGCGGGGCTCGATCCCAGGACCCTGGGATCATGACCTGAGCCGAAGGCAGAGGCTTTAACCCACTGAGCCACCCAGGCACCCCGATATCTCCTGTTTTAGAAACTTAGGATATTTCAAATTTTTCCTTTACTGTAAGGATTAAATGAGATAATACATGTAAAGTGCTTAAAAAGTTACCACATGTAGTGCTCCATAAGGTTAGTATTATGACTAAAGATATTGTCACTTACTTCCTTAGGACAAACTCCTAGGAAAGATTTGCTGAGCCAGAGTATGTGTGTTCCAAGGCTCTTCATACAATTTGCAGTGATCTTTCTAAAACACAAATCTGATCATTCTTCCATGTTGGAATTCTTCAGTGAGCTCCATGCCTGTGGTCCTTCTTCCATGCATGGGACCATACAAGCTGGTCTTGTCTACTTCCCCACTGCACTGCTCACAGCCTATACCTCTGCCATTCTAAACTAGTTCCAGTTGTTCATCTTTTCCATGTAGAGACACACCTCCTTATTTTTGAAAACTTGGTACTTTTCCTGCCTAGAATGTTCTACCTCTTCCCCCAAATCAAGCCTTACATCCCATTTCTGCCAAGGAACTTATAGCCTCCTGTCTGGATGAGGCAAGCCTCTGCTGGGCTCTGAGAGTTTGTTGTGGGTATCTCTTTATAGTACCTATCCATCCTGTAGTGACACATTACTGGGGCTACTTGTTTGTCCTATATTCTAAGCTATAAGCTTTTAGAGGACAAGGACAGTGTCCTAAAGTTTTTGTGTTTGGTATAAATAGTTGGTGCTGAATAAATGTTGGTTGGATAGACGGATGAATGAATACAAGGATCAGTACCCCTATCCCCTTGACCGCAGGAGAGTACTCAGTGCACCCCCTCTTTGCCTCGTCCTTCCTCGGACTGCACTTCCCATCCCACTCATGATTTCCAGAAATGCTTGACTTAACTGTGTTGACTTAGACTCTTAACTGTGGGAAACTGAGACCTACTCAGCTAACTCAAGGAAAGGGGGTTAGCGATAGGATCCACACCAAGCCTAAGAAGGTTACGGCAATCCCAGAATAATTGAGGCTGGTCTAAATGCGAATTGGAACCCAGGGGTGGTCTGCAAGCATTGAGGAAATTCATGCCAGTAAAAAACTCTTAAGTCTTCGCTCCAGTGTTTCACCACTAAGGTGACCAGGCTCTTCTTCCCCCAGCCTGTGTCTAGTCTTCCTGGGTCATGCCTCTCACACACTCACGGGATCTGCTTCCGGGTAGCTTTGGCTCCCCTGATCCTCATGGCTACTTCCGTCCCTCCTGACACCCTTTCAACTCATCACTCACCTGTTGTGCTGACATTTCTTAGCTCATGTTCCCCTTTCCAAGCTAGATCACATCTCAGTCCACTACCTGAGGCCTACGTCAGTGTGGCTCCAGGAGGGAGAGACAGTGTCATGTGGAACAAGATGTGGCTGCCCAACAGTGGCTCCTTTAGCACAGGGTTACAAATGGGGTATTTTTCCCTTAATGAGGCTGTGGGTATTTATTGGACATGTCTTTCCATATAGTCATTTATAAAATTTCTTAGACTTCTTATCTGGTAACCATCAGGGCAATATTGAATGTGAACTTATAAATATAGTATAAGCTTCATATGTTCTTGATTCCCAGGAACAGAACTCTTCCTCTGGGATCACGGTCAAACCAGCACCCGCTCGTGTCCTAAATAACACTATCCATGGCCTTTCGCTCCAAAGGTTTAGGGTGGGGTTGCTCCTAGCCTGGCTTTGCTTTGTCTTCCCCGTTTGTAGGGTATTAAGAAAGAGAATGGTTATATAATTCACTGGTATTTGGAGATTTCTTGCTTTATGGGTCAGAAAACTACAAACCAAGACTTGTCTTTCTCATACTGTCTTTCTCATCCCATACCTTTTCCTCATTAGGACTCTGCCCTTTTCTACAAGGAGACCACACAGGAGGGAATGGCTGCTGTGTCTCCGACTGCCGGATGCCAGGTGAGGTGAACTTTGTGTGTCTGGAATACTTGGTTAGTCTCCAGATTGTAACCACTTTTCTCTCTTTATCCGGGAGCTTCTTCAGTCAAACCGAGCCAGGTAAATGAAGGGCTCCGGGGGGAATGCATCTTTCCCATTTGACTTGTGGTATCCTTCAGTGACCTTTTCTTGCCTTGAACACGTGCCCAGTAGTGTGTCACCAGGGACACGGCCTCTGTGGACTTGGCTCTGAGAGCTTTTGCCTTAAAAATGATGGTACAGGTTGGCTTGGATGGTTTGAGGGAACAGTTCTTGTCCTGACTTGCCTTCAGTGCATCCATTTGAGAGTGGACCCCAAGTATTCCAGGAAGTGTTGGGTTAGGCTGGGGAATATGACACTCGCTGAAGAGCCCCTCAGTGAGGTGGTAAGAGTCCCAAAGAGAGATGAGTGTAGGTAGAGACATGGGGCTTGCCCCACACCTGCCCACAGACCTGGAGTCTTGAATTCTATGCTCTGGCTTAGAACTTGCACACTGGAGACTCATCTGGGGTTTTAGGATTGGGGGTAAAGATGCTGTCTTACACAATCACAAAGCATTTGTGTGAAATGAAGGGATCCTAAGGACAATCTAATCAACACCATCATTTTAAGGATTTATAAAAAACAAAACAAAACAAAACAAAAAAAAACAAGATAATTGGCGGAATTCAAATAAGGTTGTAGATTATAGTATAATATCAATGGTGTTTTCTTGACTTTCATAATTACACTGTGATTATATTAGAGAATATCCTTGTTTTTATAAAATATGCATAAAATAGGAGTAAAGAGGCATCATGTTCACAAGTTACTCTCAAGAAGTTCAGGAAAAAGGAGAATGTGTATATACTGAGAGAGACAAAAAGATAAAGCACATGTGGAGAATGTTAACATTTGGGGAAGCTGCGTGAAGGGTACATAGGCATTCTTTGTTCTGTTCTTGCAAATTATCTGAAATTTACGGGCTTGGCTGTGAACATAAGAATTATGACCAAGAACTTCATGCCTCAGGGAATTATGCCACTTTCTCCCAAGTGCTTCAAAGCCCTGCTTCATCAGAACAATTTTACTTACCTTCCTTCCACAACCTCAGGGCTATCATCTTTATGACTGTTTCGTCTGGTCCATATAAAGAGAAGGGTTATAAGTAAGGGGCAATGTGATTGTGTTTCCAGGAATCAGTGACATTCGAGGATGTGGCAGTGATTTTCACAGATGAGGAGTGGAGACATCTAGTCCCTAATCAGAGGGACCTCTACAAGGAGGTGATGCTGGAAAACTATAAGATTATTGTCTCATTAGGTAAGGAGAGCTTCCCATAAGAAGTTAGACCCGGTACTGTGTTAATGGGGGATTGAGGGGCCAATAAATGATACCTCTTCTCCCACCTGAGTTCTGAAGCACTGAGAGACAAGATAGAGGAGTAGAAGGTATGGCTTAGGGGTACAGCGACAGTCGGCTTCTTCATCCTGAACCCCAAGATTGGACAGACTGGCTTCCTGAGCCATGGGCAGATTGTACAACCCCAGCCTCCCTTGTTCAGCAGCCTGTCCCTACAGTATAGAGGACCCACTCTCCAAAGGGGGGTGGGGGCGGGCAGACAGAAGAAGCGGAGTTACACATGCCCAGTTCCTCCGCCAGCTCATCAGTCAGGTAAGTTACTCAGCTCCGTCCAGAGGACTAAGGATGCCATCTTGAGAGAAAATTTCTCCTGAGAGAAGCAGAGGAGGGGAGGAAGAAGTGTTTTCCTTAATTTTTTTTTAAAGATTTTATTTATTTATTTGACAGAATGAGAAAAAGGGTACAAGGAGGGGGAATAGCAGGTAGAGACGGAGAAGCAGGCTCCCCACTGAGCAGAGAGCTCTATCCCAGGCCCCCGGGATCATGACCTGAATCGAAGGCAGTTGCTTAACCGACTGAACCACCCAAGTGCCCCGAGTGTTTTCCTTTAAAAAGAGGGCAGGGTGTAGGGTGTAGAAATACAAGCCTGTGCCTCAGAGTAAGTCACTAGAAGTGTGTTTGATTTTGAATATTTATCTTAAGTGCAGGCTTAGAGAGAGGCCCACAGAAGGCACTTTGCAGTTATAGAGACTTGGCTGACAAAATGAAAATTAAGAATGACTGCTCTGGGGGCACCTGGGTGGCTCAGTGGGTTAAGGCCTCTGCCTTCGGCTCAGGTCATGATCCTAGGGTCCTGGGATCGAGCCCTACTTTGGGCTCTCTGCTCAGCAGGGAGCCTGCTTCCTCCTCTCTCTCTGCCTACTTGTGATCTCTGTCTGCCCAATAAATAAAATCTTTAAAAAAAAAAAAAAGAATGACTGCTCTGGAGGCCCCTGCCGGGCTGGCTCAGTCTGTAGAGCGGGGAGAATAAAACACATTAGTTCAAACGGATTTTATCAACTTTTGACCAAGTGCTACTTGTTCCTTTGTAGAACCTCAGTCTTGACCTCCATTGTGAGCTTCCCACATCCTTTTGCCTTACTTTGTACTCTGCGTTCCTGGTGTGGGCCCTCTGGCTTTCCGTTTTCTGTCAGAAAGAGTGAGAGGTTGGGTTTAAGCTTCAGAATAGTTGTGTATTTCCATCACATGCCTGGCTTGTTTCTTTCTCCCTGAGCAGGACTTCCAGTTCCTCAATGGGACGTCATTTTTCAGCTGAAGAGAGGGGATGAGCCTTGGGTAGTTGATCTTCAAGGATCTGAGGAGAGAGAATGTCCGGAGAATGTCTCTCTAGGTAACTGTGTATGAACAGGACAGGGCCGACTTTTGTTTTGTGGCTGTTATTTGGGTGTGTGGGAAGGAGGCTTGGCTACCACATTTTTCTCACATTCACATCTTCTGCTTGAGTGTTTATTCTCTGTCACCCACCAGCTTTCGGTTTTTTTCTCCACACATGAAAGCGTTACTCCTCTTTATCCACCAAATGTTATTCTCTCAGATCTGTCGTGTTGCCCATACACACCTATTGCCCACCGACCCCCCACACCACTTAGCCTACTCTCCCAATTATCCTGGCCATGCTCCCAGTGGAAAGTCTTCTCTCTCTTCTGAGCTGTCCACTGTCAGTTCTGTTCTCTTTTCAAGTCTCAGTCTTTTCCCAACACGAACAACTGTCTATGGGAGCCAGCGGGGCAGTCCCTGTACACTACTGTTCAGATTTATTGTAGCATCTCGTCTTTCTGCTGTTGTACTGTAGTATTTCCTAGCCCAGGAGAGAAACTGCAACTGTATTTTCTGTCTGTTCCAGACCGGAAGACTAAGCCCGAGATTCATGGTCCTTCAGAAGGAGAAGAATCAGAAGGAATGGGGAGGGGAAAGCTTCGAGGAGAAGTTTCCGTGTGTCCTAAATTCGACGCTCATGCACTGGAGGGTGAGTCGGAAGCAGGGAAGGAGAGGCCTGCCGTCCAGACCTGCAAGAAGTCCCTTTCCCAGAAGGAAAGCTTGCAGCTGGGGTCTACCCCTCTCAAGAAAATCCTCACTAAAGAGAGAGACCAGGAATGCAGCCACTGTGGGAAGACCTTTTTTGACCACTCATCCCTTACCCGCCACCAGAGGACTCACACTGGAGAGAAGCCCTATGACTGTCACGAGTGTGGGAAGGCCTTCAGTCATAGGAGCAGTCTCAGTAGACATCTGATGTCTCACACGGGGGAGAGCCCCTATGAATGCAATGCATGTGGGAAGGCCTTTTTCGACCGGTCATCCCTAACTGTCCATCAGCGAATTCATACTGGAGAGAAGCCCTTTAAATGCAGTGAGTGTGGAAAAGCCTTCTTCGACCGCTCATCCCTTACTCGACACCAGAGAATCCACACCGGAGAAAGCCCTTATGAATGTAATCAGTGTGGGAAAGCCTTCAGCCAGAAAAGTATTCTCACTCGACATCAGCTCATCCACACCGGCAGGAAGCCTTACGAATGTAATGAGTGTGGGAAAGCCTTCTACGGCGTGTCGTCACTGAACAGACATCAGAAGGCTCACACTGGAGAGCCTCACTATCAGTGCAGTGAGTGCGGGAAAGCTTTCTTCGACCGTTCATCCCTTACTCAGCATCAGAAGATTCACACCGGAGACAAGCCATATGAGTGCACCGAATGCGGGAAAGCCTTTAGCCAGAGATGCCGGCTCACGCGACATCAGCGAGTGCATACAGGAGAGAAACCCTTTGAATGCAGCGTGTGTGGGAAGGTGTTCAGTTCTAAGTCGTCCGTTATTCAACACCAACGGCGTTATGCCAAACAAGGAATAGACTGAGTTGGGTGAAAGGACCTCCATAGAAACTCAAGCTAGGTCTTCCCCATCGTAAGCAAACCCATCCTTTGCGCATTCTACCTCTTCTGGCTACTCCTTTCCTTTTCCACCTCTGCTACCACAGTGTGAATAAACATTCTCTACTTACCGTGTTCTACAACTGTGGGATGCCGGAAGTTAGGATGTGACTCTAAAGGGTTGACACTTTGCGGAAGTTTGTTAGACAACAGGATAAATATTAGGAGGTGATCGTCAGACATGTCTCTTGTCTGAGGCCCCAAGTATCACTGCACTTTAATAACCGGAGGTTCGAGCAGGAGGGAAGGCGAAGTTGGAGCAGCACTGTCGTTTCCAGAACACTTCTTTTTATAGCTTGCATCCCTTTCCCTGGGAGCTTTTTTGGGCCCTCGTCTTGTTCTTTGTGTCCCAACTTCTAGGTTCCTTTGTACTACTACTACTACTACTACTACTACTACTACTGCTACTGCTACTGCTACTGCTACTACTGCTGCTGGCTAGCACTTACTGAGCGCTTACTATGGGGTAAGCACTCAGTGGAGAGTTTGACAAAGAGTAGACTGTTTGGTCCTCTCACCAACCCTGTGAAGTAGAAGTAGGTACTATTACTATCCTCATTTTACAGATGAGCAGACTAAAGTTTAGAGGTATTAAATAATTTGCCCAAAGTGACACAGCTTGTAAAAGGTGAAGCTAATCCTTGAATACAAGTCTACCTTCAAAGTCTATTCTCTTAACCATTATGCTATATGGTTTGTTTAATAATTTATGTACAGGTATCATCTCCTCAACTAGATTAGAAGCACTTGGAGACGTGACTTAGGTGTCTTTGCATCTCACACAGTGCCTTGCACATAATAGGTGCTCAATAAATATTTATCTGAATTAGTGATTTTTCTACTTACCAGGTTCTCTCTATTTAAAACATCTGTTGAGTGTACATCCTTTCTCTGAATTTTCGGTGTAGACTGCGCCTTTATCCTCTCAGGCTCCCATTACTGTGGTAGTCATTGAATTCTTCCCTCTTCCTTATTTTTTTTTATTAAAAGATTTTATTTATTTGTCAGAGAGAGAGAGAGAGAGAGAGCATGCATGCACAAGCAGGTAGAGGCAGAGAGAACCAGGCTCCCTGCTGAGCAAGGAGCCAGATGCAGGACTTGATCCTAGGACCCCAGGATCACGACCCAAGCTGAAGGCAGGGGCTTAACCGACTGAGCCACCCAGGCATCCCTTCCCTCTTCCTTACTGAACAGGGGTATGTTAAGCTTTGGTGCCATAATAAGTAACCCCCAAACTGAAAATTCACATCTCACATAAAATCTGATATGAGTCAGTCTGTCTCACTCCATCTTCATCATTTAGAACATGTTGCCTCTAAGGGTATCATGGAAGAGAAAGCTGGAAGATATTTTAGGTTATTTCTAAGGACCATCACTTGTGTCCACATCTCATAAACCAGAACCCATCACCAGAGGCCAGAAAAGTAAACAAGCACCTCAATATTTGGTTAACATCAAAAGTGTGTGTCACGAATTACATTTTGCACATTACTGACATTTTGCACATTATGCTTAGACCAGTCTTTCTAAATGACCCTTTCCTGCTCATCATTGCCTTACTTGAGACCTAAAATAGCTCCCTGTTTAATGAAAGCTTCTCTGAATATTTAAGGTCTGCCTTGATGTGATTCCACATCACTGAACTTTAAGTTCTGACTCCCAAAACTCTTCTATGCCCTGGGCCCAGTCCTTTATTTTTATTTTATTAAAGATCAGGGACTAGGCAGCTTTGGCCCTAGGCATCTGCATTCCCTTCCTAGTTGCTTGAAGTGAAGCCCGGAAGAGGACTTGATTCTGAAAGGCTGTCTAGAATTTAGCTTACCTGTATGAATCCCAGTGGACCAAGATGCATTTCTCCTGAGAGGTAAAGTCAGATTCAAGAAGATGGATTGCCAAATAGACACCCCCTCCCCCCCAGTCTACTAACAACCCTATTTGTCCGCCTTTCTTAAAGCAGATGAGTGACAGGGAAGACTTTTCACGTGTGGACTCTTGAAGCAACTTGAAGAAAAACACTTCAGAGAGTGCAGAATCTATCAGAGTGGTTAATGTCTGGTATTATTTAATAATGTCAAGTAGAAAATAAAAGGGACTATTGACAGACTTTTGACTGGACTATATCTGAGAGTTCTGAATCTTTAATCTATTCCCTTGTTAAAAATAAACTGAGGCGATCGAGTATTTCCCTCAAGATATTCTGCCATTGTCAGCAAGATGAGACTAGAACAAATTCAGAACACTAATGGAATTCTGAGTATGGTGATAAGTGAAACAATGGGGACATTCCCTTTGTTCCTTTTTTAAATTTGGTGATCTGCAGAGCATTTTAAAAAATGTGAAGTGCTGTTCTACCTCCTACTAAAAATTCTGAGGGAAGGGCCATTTTCCTTTTAACTGATATCTTCCAAGAGGGCATACAGTACTGGAGGCCTTAAATTTTTTTTTTAAAGATTTTTTTTTATTTATTTATTTGACAGACAGAGATTACAAGTAGGCAGAGAAGCAGTCAGAGAGAAGAGGAAGCAGGCTCCCTGCTGAGCAGAGAGCCCGATGTGGGGCTCAATCCCAGGACCCTGGGATCATGACCTGAGCTGAAGGCGGAGGCTTTAACCCACTGAGCCACCCAGACGCCCCATGGAGGCCTTAAATTTTGAGGTGTTAGCTTCACCAAATGATCATCAGGAGTACAAATCTTGGAACCAGAAATTGGTCAAATTGGAAGTATGCCCTATTTTTAAAATCAAAAATGAAACTGATGGAATTAATTTTAATATTTCAGTATTTGAATTTAATTCAAATATTTAAAATTTTCATGCAATGTTACTTCAACATGTAATCAATACAAAAAGTATTGAGATACCCTACATCCTTTTTTAAAAAAACTGAATCTTCAACTACTTTGTATTTAGAGCACGTCTCAAATTCAGACTAGACACATTTCAAGTGCTCAATAGCTATTGCATTGAACAGCACAATTTCAGATAGCCATCAGGAGCTTTTAGAGGGAAAAGATAAAGGGATTGTTTTGGTCATTGGAGCTGTTGGAGGGATGCTTGCTTCTGGCCATGTGGCAAGCACTCTGCACCTGTATAAGGTAGACTTCTGCTTCCAGTAGGTCAAGTGGGGTCCAAGACTGGGAGGCCTGTTCTTACCATCCCTCAGACACATTTTAACACATCTCAAAACAGCTGCTTTGATCTCTGTGTGCCTGTCTCCTTTGTTCTGAGTTGGATCTTTTGTTACCTCAGGTGGGGAAGAGATTGTTATTTATGAATCTTTAACAACCCAACCAGGATATGGAGGAGGAAGTATCTTAAGATTGCCCGTTAGTGAAAGATGAAAATTATTTTGTGTGATCATTTCATGTTTTCTGAGCAGACTATTAGAATCCACTTATTATGATTCTGGAGGGAGGAGGGGTTCTGTTAGAATGAGCAAAGCATGAATGGGTGCTGGCGAAGGATGTGCCCAGTAGAAGCCACTGGAGCTCCCCCACCACTCCAAGATTGTCAATACAAAAAAGGAAAACTACAGCCATGATGATAAAGTTGGAGGTCTTGGGAGTGATTTTCCCACCATTTTCTTTCTGATTCCTTGGTTTGATCAAAAAGCTAGATCCTGGAAGTTAAGTGTCTCTGATATTACAGAAAAGCTAATGAAGTGGAGTCAACTGTAGCTAGTTCTGTGCTTCACCTTGTTTCTATATTGGAAGGCAGCTATAAGTTGCCCTTTGATTGATGTGTAGCCACTGATCTAGTTAATTCTTTTCTATACCCATTAAGTTGATCCGCCGATAGCAGTGTAAATTTAGCTTCACCTAACACACTAGCAATTTATTTTTATTAGCCCGCCCCTGAGGTTTTTTTTTTTGCATTGTACATAATATGATAAAGCAAGATTTAAATAATTAAAATAATTAAGTTATTCATTATAGTAATGGCAGTATCTGTTAAAAAGAGAAGGAGAAAAAGCCAGTAAGTAGCACGTAATCAAGTTAGTCACTGCCATGGGCAACTGAGGCTCAACCCCATTGGGACATGGGAGTCATGTTGCATGAGCTTCATAATTGTCTGCCCCTGAAGCGGGGAGCATTTATCTACTGGCTCCCATTCCCTGTTGGTTAAGTGTTGCTGCATGAACACTCAAGGTTTCTGTAGTCATCCCCTTTGGCAAAGTCAGAGACTAACTCCAGGGAGTAAAGTGACAAGGGTGGGGTACAACTGAAGCAAGGGTTTATCTGATTATGTTTGCAGAAGTGGTTGCTGCAGCATGGCTGGGGTAAAATTTGGGCCAAGAGAATATGGGGTAGTGCACCCAAGGTGTTTAGAATGAGGGTAGAGAGTAAGCTCATTTGAATACATTGAGCTTGAGATGCTTATGAAATATCCAGACATATGTGGGAATGTTCTGTAGGCAAAACTGAAGGTGAAAAGAGTGATCCCAGATATATGGGTGGTGAGTGGTGGGAAATAATTTATCAAAGTGTAGGTAGGAAGAGACTAGGATCTAAGATAAGTCCAAAGAATATGGAGATTAGACAGGCATGAAGAGAGGAAGAGCCCATAAAAGCAGAGTGAATAGAAGAGGATAGGGAAGCAAGAGAAACACTAGGTGAGAGCAGGGTCACAGAAAGACTTTCAAGAAAGAGGATAGCAAAAAAGTATTCAATGCCGCCAAGTGGTCAAGAAAGACAAAGCATTAGCCTTTTCAGGAAGATGGCACCAAAGGCAAAGGAAAACCCTGCCCTTTCCAAAGCAGAAACCAAAGCAAAAACTTTGAAGGCCAAGAAAGTGGTGCTGAAAGGCATCCACAGTTACAAAGAAAAGAAGATCCAAGGTCACCTACATTTGTACAGCCCAAGACACTGTGTCTCTGAAGGCAGCCCAAACACCCTCCAAAGACCGCCGCCAGGAGAAACAAGGTTGACCACTA